AAGCACCCAGGCATATTTTAAGGAGGCATTTTTATTTAGCTCACAGACAACGTGATGAACCACTTTTTATGACTTTTTATTGATTTGTGCAAAGGTTGCTCAGCTGAGGCATTGTATAGCTCAACAGGAACCCAGGTGTGCTGATTGAAAAATTCCATATTTTTGGATGAAATCTATCTTGGGGACAGGAATGTAACTATCTTGAGCCTGTAAATAGACGTTAAAGCTCATGAATTTTACTTGACATCCATTTTTTCTCTTAAAGTAGTTATATTTATCAGTGTCATTTCTAAATCACTAGTCCTCCAGTTGTTTTGTTTTTTGTTTTACAGCCTCACATATCCCATGCTGGCCTCAAGCTTTGCATGTAACCAAGGATGACCTGAACCTTTCTCTTATCCTCCTGCTTCGACCTTCTGAGCACTGTAGCCATACACCAGGCTCTGGTTCATCTGGTGCTGATGAACCAGATTCCGCATGCCCTGCTAGGCAAGCACCCTACCAGCTGGATCACCTCCCTAGCCCCCAAAAGAATGCTCTGCTATCATCTCCTGGACAGTTAGGCTATACACAGTGTTCTTACTCGTAAGAACCCAGCTGATTCTTATGAAAAGCTGAAGAGTGTAGAACCCACAACAGCAAACAGAGATGGACCTTCTTCTTTAAGTTTAACCTCTAAATTTGTTTACAAAGCAGACCATTCTTTGCTGGTAAAGGATTGGTAATCTATAGGCCTAATTTTCAAAGTGAAGTTTTATTGCCTCACAGCATTGGCTGTTTACTTATATAGTGCTTTGGCTCTTACATGCCACTGACAAAGTTGAATAATTGTTAGAGAGACCATGAACTCAAAAATTTAAAATATTTATTATCTACCCTTTTAAAAGTATGATAATCCCTCAATGAAATAGGTTAAAGAGTATCTGACAGCACATGGTGGCACACGCCTTTAATTCCAGCTCCAGAGGTAGAGACAGCTGGATCTCTGTGAATTTGCGGACAAAGGAGTCTGTAGACTAGCGAGAGCCAAGATAGCCAGGATTACATAGAGACCTTTCTCAGCGTCCCCCACCTGCACCCATAAAAGAACATCTCATAGTTCTGACTGATTCTTGTGTTTAACGCGTATAATGAAATGGTTTCGCCTCATTTTCTGAGGAAACATTGTAAGACCCACAGAGAGTGCCCCAAATCTGCCGACAGTACTGAACCCTCTAATGGACGATGAATTTTTTCCTGTGTGATTGTCAGTGTTCTCGCATAGTTTCAGAGTTAGTCTGCTCATCTGTATTTTCTGCCCTGCTGTCTTCTCTTGCTTGATATCCATTAGCAAGGAAAATAAGAATTACTTAACACAAGTACTTTGACACCATCGTTATCAGTCTGATGAATGAGAAGGCTGCTAATGACTGACCTGCAGGTAGCGTGTACATCACAGATACACAGATGGCTGAGGGTCTTCTAATGGCAGAGAGATAGTGTGAAGCTGCATTATGGAATTCCAAGCAAAGTTATAATTTTAAATTTATGAATTATTCATTCAGGCTTCTAAGACAAAATAACAAAAATTCTACGAAGCTGGGAACTTATAAACAATTGAAATTTAATTGCTCGTAGTTCTGGAGGCTCAGAAATTACAAGGTCAGAATGCTGGTAGAGGGGCTGGGGGCGTTTCAGCATCAAAGTGCACTTGCTGCTCTCGTAAAGAATCAGAGTATTGTTCTCCAAACTGGTACTGGACCACTCATAACTGCCATTAAATCCAACTCTTGGGAATCCAACACCCTCTTCCAGCCTCTCTACGTACTCACATACATGCATACCTACAAACACACGCACATACAGACACACACAAATAAAATGAAAGTTTAAAATATAACTACATTTGGTCTTCATTTAGTGTTTACTTTTTGCTCTTTACATGGGAAGAAGTATCTCCCAAATACCCATGATACTGCCTTGCCTTCTCTGCTAGCTTGCTTCTTTTTGTTTGTCAGAACATTGAGAAATACCATGAAGTCTGGCTGAGGGTCCCAAAGAAGGAATCTTTGGAGAATTAATGTTTGTTTTAATCCATGAAGGATGATTAGGAGTTTGTACGAAATGCAAGAAGCCTATTCCAACCTACACTGGAAGCAAGTATCTAATTATTTTTGTGTTTGGGAAATCTATACATGGAAAGCAGTTGGTTGAGGTGCTAAAAGATTGAGCTGGGAGATGAATGGGCCTGGATTTTGACAGGTTATGTACAGCAAATGGAGAATATAGGATTTGGCCTCAAATACCACATAATTAACTGATAGAGCATGAAAAAGGTGACTAGATTCACACTTTGGAAAAATAACTAACAGTGGTATAGGGTGGGTTAGAGAAAGAATGGTGGGACCTTAATTAAGTAATCATGTGTCAATAGAGAAGATTCAATGCAATTAAAAACACAGAGACTGTAAAAGGAAGATGTACACATATTGGAGACGAAAAGGGAAGCTCAGATCAATCTGAAATTTGACGTAGGCAAGAGAATAGATGGAGTTTCAGGAGGAAGAACGTGTTTGAACGCTATTTAGTTGAGAAGCTGGAAGCTATGTGAATCACTGAGCTCTTAGATGTTTGTGGGAAAGGGAAACGTCCTTTGGGTTCACATTTTGGAGCTTGGACTTCTGTGTCAGGATACAAAGAGCATGGCATACCCACTACTCATTCAGCAGGAACGTGGTTTATCTTGTTAGATAGTATGTTAGTCACACAGAGACAGGAATTACACCTCGAGGATCTGCTCCTGGATGTATCGAACAAGAAAGAACATTCGCGGGACCTTCCAGAGTGCGGACAACTGTGAGAACAGATTTCAAAGATTTCAAAGTAGGCCAAGAAAAATTCCTCAGAGAGCAAAGGGCAACATAATGAGTGGGGAGACATTGCTTACAGAAATAGACACACTAGAAAACCAGTATACCAAAAGAGTTATGTCAAGTAACGACACAGAGTTAGGAGCTGGAAAGCTTAGGGGAGAATGGACGCATCTGGAAGATGGGAGGTCAGAAATCATTGTTTTATTTCCCCTTTAATTTATTCAGTATTACTTATGGGGTTTCTACTTTGTGGCAAGACACATGATGATCTAAAAATACCAAGTTTCCGAAGCCATATCACATGCAGTATCCGGGGCTAAGACAGGAAACATGGAGTTAAGTAAGCAGGTGCACGATATGCTAACAAGAAGAAGCAGGTCAAGTCAGAGAAACAGCAGGACCTGTTTTTCTCTGAAACAACAGAGAATGAAACAACATTCCCAGATGTTTCATCACTGAAGAAGTTGAGAGAGGGAAGACCCTGTCAGACATCTCTTTTCTTTCGCCTCAGACGAGAGCATCTCCAGCTCCTCAAATGGCTGTCATTCTTCTCTTCTAGTTCCTGAACAAATGTAATCAGTTGTTGTGAACTCTATTGTGCTTTGGAAGGTTTGGGTTTAAACCTCTATTCTAATAGCTCCTGGTACCCACCTTCTAACCTTCCCTCTTTCCATGCTTCTTTTTATTTTCTGACCACTATTCTCCCAGCTTCTATGAAAGCTTCTGTCTTAGTTTCCGCCTATGAGAACTCACAAATGTGGACTTTCTGCTCCTGACTTTATCCATTTACTTCATGTGTATTTCCAGGACACTCATGTTGTCAGACAGTGACCTCACATCTTCTCCTCTAACACTTTAGGATATTTGACAGGTACATTTTCAAGATTAGAGTAACAAATTGAACAAAAGTATTATTTGTTATTATCCATAGCTCTGAAATATAAGGAAATAATATACACTAAAATACATTTAAATATCAATATTTTACAAAACATTAAAGAAGTATTTGTCTGTTTTTAATTTCAAGGGCTAGTATCAACTTTCATATTTTACTGAAATCAGGTCAGCCATGTTACAAGTGATGATATGATTTAAAATTCCAAAAACATTATCAGAATTCATTTTGTATTCTCTTTATTTTATGGCGTTCAAATTGTTTTGCTCTATTCCTCCTCTTCCATATTACCAGGGCTTTGAAAGGATATTTTTCTCACAATCCCTTCCTTCAGCAAAGCTTCGAGATTTAATTTTATACATCATTTCCTAACATCAGTTCTAAATTCCACTTGCATGAGGGGCTTTCTCTAACAAATCACAGGTGAATTTATTGAAATTAAAGACAGTCTGAAAATAGGAAAAATGCTAGGCCACCTTTTGAAAAAATATAAGATAAATTATCATTTAAAGGTTTTGTGAGGATGTGTGGGTGTGGGTAGGTGTGTTTTTTTTTTTTTGGGGGGGGGGAGAATCCAGTATTTCAAGGGTTGAGATTCTAACTTAATTGAACACACAATTTTCTCAGAGTGGGCAGATTTCTATTTAACATGATGGGGAATTCTTTGGAATTATTATAGAAGTTGCTCAAAGAGCCTGGACACTGTTCATCTCTGAGTGATGTTAAATAAAAGTAGTTTAAAATGGCAATCTTTAGGTAAGGACATTTGTTGTTATAATAAATGATTCTGAAGATGAAATCATTCAAGTATGAATGAGGACTACGGTTATCAGAAAACAGGTGGTGGGAAAGATGTGAATTCATGTCAGTGAGGATGAAGAGTTGAAAGGGTGAGGGGCTGATGTGGAATTTTCTGACATTTCAGTCATTGGCACTCCACCATAGAATCTCCATAAGTAACGTCAGTTTACAGATGGAGAAATTCAAGCATGACACCATTTGTATGAAGTGATTCATATTTAAATCCTAGGTATGCATATTTCCCTCCATACTTTAAAATAGTGATATTTCTGGGTAAAATTATAGATAATAATTACATTTGTATTCAAACATTTGCACGCTTACACATCCTTTGATAACAGAAAATTACAAAGTTGAAGTTCACTGTTAAGAGTAGTAGCCTAAGAGTATCTTCGCCGTACATCATTCCCCCAACCAAGATAACATAATTATGGGTTTAATTGCAATTTCAGGTGGCTTCTGCTTATTTCAAAGATTTTCACCTTCTGCTAATTGGAGTCATCTGTTTAGCAACATCAATAGAAAAATGGAATTTGCATAAGAGGATTGCTCTGAGGATGGTGATGATGGTGGGTGTGAATCCAGCTTGGTGAGTAAGGGGTTTGCTGCATCCAGATTATATCCTCGGCATACCATTGTGTACAGAGCAAATTCCAAATGAGTAACGCAGGAAACAGCTTGGGCAGCAGGGTAACTATGAAAACACTAAGGTGATGTGAGGTGTGCTCGAGGGGTTGGAAGGGAAACAACAGCAAGTGTCCTTCCACTGCAGGTCAACTTTCAGGGAGACTGGAACAAACACAACGCTCTCACCTGTAAGGCACCATTGGAGTCAAAGAGGGGAGGAGCCTTGAACATCAGTAAAGGAGACTGACAGACTTCAGAGTAGATTTCAATCCCGTTTTGTTTATTTGGCTGATTACATATCCAAAACTAATTCAAGAGCATCCTTTATCAACAGGAAGAGTGCTATGAACCAAAGACAAAGGCAGTACTGACAAAAAACAAAAAACAAAACAAAAAAAACAAAACAAAACAAAAAAAAATCTGTGCAGAAAAATTCCAAGATGAACACATTTTTCTTTTTTAGATCAAGCGTTGCAAAGTGAAATAATCAATTGAGTTTTCTTCTTTATGTGAAATTACTCATTTGACTGATTTCCCTTCACTGAGATGCATGTTTTTTTTCCATTAAATTAATTGGCTATTAGGGTTCTACTCCACCTCTTGTTATACACATGAACATCAGCTAAGGAACATTTCCAGTGTCATAATCATTTGCATAATGTTTTGCTTTAAAGCCTTAGGTGGTTTTCCCCCTTCTTATCATTCTTTGAAAAGTGAGAAAAAAATTGACTTATATTGCATAATTTCTTCAAGGGCATAGCAGACTCTTTGTGTTTACCACTGTGGAGTAAATTTCATTGCTAAAATACCAATACATGTGTGTATGTTTATGAACATGTCTGTGTATGTATGACATATATGAGACAAATTATATTACTTAGGAAATTTATTACACACATACATTTCTTTATAATATATTTATTATGAAAATACAGTGAAATAGTGTCTTTTTCTCTTGGGTACCATAGAAATCTTTTTCTTGACCACCTGGGCACTGCTCCAGGAGAGAGAAAACTGCACAGTAAGGCAAGGCTTCTGTCCATTACACCATTCTGTGGCTCTTTGGTTTAAGGCATTTCCACCAGTAGAAGCTTTACATTATACAGACACTACATGTACAAAGTTTTCATTTTTTAAATTAGGAATTATTTTTGTTAGAACATATTTCTGTGATGTTTTATGTTGTTTCTCACATAGAAAGAATTCACTATACTCAAGTCTGAAACATGGTATGGAATTGTTTTTAAAAGATTTTATAATTGGCACTTCATAGAAATATCTGCTTCTGAATTATTTTTGGAATCTCCTATCAGATTAACCTTACTCTCAAGTGTTGTTTTGAAAGTTTATAGAAATGCTTTAAGTCCCAAAGTCTTACATTTGTTATTTTAAGGATGAATTACTCTGTTTATAAGAGAAGACAAGTAATAAATCTAATTCTTGACAATAGGAAGAAATGCTAGGTTCAGGAGAGCATAAATAATAGAATATATAGAAAATTCTGAAACTTCATTTTAGCAAGTGATTGTAACCATTTTCTCCACCCACTATATATTGAACCAGGAGAGTGAATGGACGAAAGGGAGATTTGTAAATATTAATCCTGGTCCTGGTTCTATTTGCTGCACATACCAAGAAACAGGGAAATGGCCAAAAGACGAATAAAAGCAAGGGATTCTCATTAGTTGGATTCTCATCTCCAGATTACTTAGGTCTAAAGACTAGCCCCTCAGAAAAAGAGCTCATGTATTAGGGTAACACTGCAAGCTGTAGTGTTACATGCCGATTTGCAGTTAGGCTTAGATTTAATCATTTATCTTATTTTGAAGAGAATGCTCTCCTAGTACCCTTAAGGGAATGCAAATCTTAATAATTGTATCCGTACATGTTCTGCTTTGATTCTGCCTGTCTCTGTAACTTCACTCAGAGTTCCCCATCTGGGCAGAGACTTCACCTTCTGTGTTATGAAACACGTAATTGTAATTTCCAATTTGCAAACAATATTCTTCATAGTTGAATACAGAGTTACTTGGGTGGACAGCACAGCCCACACTAAAGACCCTCTCATTTCAGGCTGACGCTGGGCTTCATGAGCAGTACTGCCTTCTTATCCATGTGGCTTAGCAACACCTCCACCGCTGCCATGGTGATGCCCATCGTGGAGGCCGTGGCGCAGCAGATCATCAGTGCTGAAGCAGAGGCCGAGACCACTCAGATGACTTATTTCAATGAATCTGCAGCCCATGGACTGGAAGTTGATGGTATCATGTATTGATATGGCCACAGTGGGGTCTTGTCATTTGGGCAGTAGACAAAAATTCAAGGATGCTAGGATACATTTTAAATTAAGTATGCATAAATGCAGAAGATGCATTTAGCCTCACTATTTGTGTAGTCCCCAGTATCTATCCAAATCATTCTAGAAATATTTTTGCTTTGAATTAGCTGCTGAATATATTCTCTGGCATAAAAACGAAGGGCACCATTGTACTCTCCAGCCAGTCCAATGGAGCACTCTCATGCCCTTCTCTGTAGACATCCAGGCTGCTATCCTTCTTCCTGAATGGCCTTCCTGCATAAACCACAGATCTGTGATTCTTACGTCCTGTTTGGGCACAGCACAGCATTAAATTCCACATCGGTGTTTTTTGCTCTGGTGAACTGCTGTGATGCAAAGGAAGATGCTGCAGGATGTTTGTGTTTATCAAAGAAGAGTGTTAGATTAGCACAGCATGAACTTGTTTGTTTTGTAATTTCAAATAATATGTCCATCTTCTAATACATACATACCCACACGTATGCACACATGCAGACCCAACTATAACTCTCCACTTAAATGTTTTTTTCTTTCATTTAATATTTTACAGAAACAGTTATTGGACAAGAAACAAATGAAAGTAAAGAGAAAACAAAACCAGCTCCAGGGTAAAGTCTATTGATATTTGATAAGGATTTTCCAAATCACATTTTAATGAAATTACAAACTGGGTCAATTTATATTTCAGAAGCAGTAATGACACAGCAAAAGTTTCAAGCAAGATGGAGACAGAAAAGGTACATTACATTTGGTTCTTTCTAAATACTTGTACATGAATTATATTAGACTTGTAATTGGATACATAACTATTTTTAAATGTGTTGCTTTCTCATATAAAATTAATTTGTATGACTATGTCCAAATTTGGTTTGATGGTTTGATAAGTCTTCCTGAATAGACATCCAGGTAAGAATTATTTAAGGCTTTGTAAACCAAGATCATTATTTTTTCCTTTTATTAGAAATGTGATGATGGCAGTTAGCCTACTGAGTTTAAAGAAACACACTTCTACTCAGAGAATACTGTTTCAGTTCTTATTTATTTATTTATCATTTATACAGTGTTCTACCATACACACCAGAAGAAGGCACCAGATCTCACTATAGATAGTTTTGAACCACCATGTAGTTGCTGGGAATTGAACTTAGGACATTTGGAAGGACAACCAGTGTTCTTAACCTCTGAGCCATCTCCCCAGCCCCTGTTCCATTTCTAACTAAATCTTGACCAGTTACACTGATTTTATCAGCATCATCCCTGTTTCTTCAGGTTATGTATGGGCTTAGAACACCATTTTTGATGTAATTAAAAGTGATGGTGTAATTGTAGTGTTCCCTAAAAATTCAATGCAGAATTCATGAGTTGCTTCTGTCAAATAGAGACAAAGGGGTAGTAGCTGTTGCAGATATTGAAGAGAGAAAGGGGACCTTAGAAAACAGCCCATACAATCCATTTCCTTATAATAAATCAATATAAAAACACTATACTACATTGCATGAGGAGCAGAATTTCTCAAGACTTCTGAAAATGAGCCTACTTAGAAATAGTCCCTCAGTTACCATGGCGTTAAGAATAGGCAAGCAATCATATATTCTCTCCTTGGGCTGTACGATCCATTAGCATGCAGCTCAGTGGGAAAAGAGACAGTATGGTTTATAGAAATTTCAAGGAAACAGTGAATTTTCTGGAAAGAAAATAAATGCAAGATAAGGTTCAAACCATTAGCTGTGTCTACCTGAAGGTTTATATGAAAAACTTCATATGTATTTATGAAAACACTATTATCTTTGTGGATAGAAATATTCCTTATAAAACATTAAATATTAATAGTGAGGCATGTTGTTACAGAAGCATACACTGAAAAATGGACTTTGCATACTCTCATAAAAACTAGCAACTCTAAACAGAAGGGATAAAGAATGTACACATAGCCAGTTACTTCAGCACAATTTCCAGATATCTTCAGCAAGCTAGGTTTCTGGCACTGTGCCTAAATTTCAAGTTCAAAATGATTTGCTAGCCACTGTGTCCTGGGCCTTGTAGGGGAAAATGTTAAAAACAGACTGCTCTTTATTATACATATCTCAGAATCTAGGGAATGCAAAATAACAAAAAATAGACAGATACAAAAAGCTACAACAAAGTTCACTCAGAAGCCAAGCCTTCCAAAAGGTGGCACAATTAGTTTAATATGGGCATGTCATGGAAAAGCAGTATGAAGTAAAGATGCTTGAGTCTGGGAAGATGGATAACTGCAAGAAAAGACCACAAATCCCATGCCTGTAAGATCAGGTCTCTTTATCCTGATTTTGACCTGAGCATATCCCACTGCCTGAAACTCAGTAGTTATTCAGTATCTTTGGCGATTAAGGAATGAGCTAATACGAAGGGAGAAAAATAGAAAAAGATGCTCTAATCGTGGAGTATGTTTATCAAAAGCTCAACTCTGCAAAGCATCGCAGCCTTCAGGAGGCATCTGCCCTACAGGTGCTAGAGAGGAGTGAAATGACCAAGCCAGGTTAGGGACTGTTCTTTGAGACTAGGGTAGAGTTGGGAGATTCTCTTGTGGGAAGAAGCCTTGAGGCTAGTAGGCAGCATGCAAATTCTGCTTTGGGATGCATTCTCTGGCTACATTGCAAAAGGCAAAAGGGTTTGAACCTGACTTGAATTTTCTGATTAATCAGACCCTGGGAAGGACAGAATTATAGTAAATGTCTCCACCATTCTCAAGGAGGTGAGGGGAGACTGGGATGCAGTGGACTGGGATGAGGAGCACAGGAGGAAAGCTTGCCCGGAAGAAAAGTAAAGCAGTTGGGGGCAAACCACTGAATCCACTTAGTTCTGCCTATAGACAGGAGTATAAAATCACCCACTGTCAGTGGAACTATACCGAAGAAAGCTCTCCCTTTCTAGCAGCTACTTCAGGTAGGGGTGGGCCTCATGAGTCCCTCTCTGACCCTTCTGGAATTTTTATCAGCTTGATTTTATATAATCAGCTGCAGCTACTGTGAGGTCATGAGTTTGGCGGCCATGTTACATCCAGAAAACTGTTTTTGCAACAGTCCTCCCCAAACTTTGGCTCTTCTACAATGTTTCCTGAGCCCTTGAAAAGGGTGTGATAAAGACATCACATTTAGGGATGAGCACAGTAACTTATGCTCTGCCCTCTGACCAGTTTTGAGTCTCTGTATTACCCATGGCCCACTGCGGAAAAAAAAAAAAAAGAAGCTTCTTTGATGAGCACTGAGCTGTGCAGTCATCAATGGGTATTTAGAAGGTGGTTTGATACTACTACGTCCATTTAGCAAAATAATAATAGTAGGTTCTTTCTTATAGCCTGCACACTGCCCTGACTTGGGTTCTTGGATGGTTTCAAGAGCTCACAACAGTTCTGTCCTGTGAAGTGGGCCTTAAATTCAACCAAAAAGTGGTTAGTTATCCCTATAATATATACGCCACTGTTAATCCAAGACATATCTTGTCAAATTTGGTAATTACTCTAGTTCACAGGGTTCACATCTGGTAAGACTGATGATGATTTTTCTCTTCACTAGCCTTTAAAAATCTATCTATCTATCTATCTATCTATCTATCTATCTATCTATCTATCTATCATCTATCTATCCACTTTATATCCTGATCATAGACTCCTTCCCCCTCTCCTTCCTGTTCCACCCTGCCTCTCTCTTCCCCATCCCTTCCCCTACTCCATAAACAAGGGAGCCCCGCCCCAACCTCATCAGCCTTAATAGCACCTTTTACCACTGTGAAAACTAGCCAGGAGGGAGGAAGCTTCCAGGTCAGTATCAGTTAGGTTTCCCCCTGTCCTGTGATCCAAGTGAGTGGAATCTTTAGGAATAGGGTCTTACGTTCAAGTCCTGTTGAGTAGCCAGTAGCAATGAATATCAGGTGTGTTGCTTGGAGGTCTATGATATATTTCTGACCAAATCAATCAAAAGGAGTCACACATGGCACCGGATTCTCTGTTTGATAACCTGTTCAGTCTTGGAGAGCATTATTTCCCAGCGTAGGGCAACTCTAACCTCTTCTTTAAGGTTTGCTCTTACTATGTTTAATTATGTCTGTGCGTGTTTCTCCATTCTGTAAGCAGAGATGTACAAATGAGTGAATGGCCCTAAGGAGGCCAGGACAGAGTGTCAAATCTTCTGGAGTTGGAGTTACAGATACTTATAAGATGTTTCATGTAGGTGTTGAGGAAGAAACTTGGGGTCCTCTGCAAGAGCAATGTGTGCTCTTAATTATTAAGCTATTTCTCCAGTGCCCGTTTATACCCACACAGGAAGCTTAGAACATAACAGGTTTCTATGTGGCTCTTCCAAAACCCCCTAATGTTAGTTTTTCCTTCCCAGCCCATGTCTGCCTTGCTCTCCCACTTCACCCACGTCCTCCCAGCTATTCCACTCTCTGCCTTCAGACCACAAAATCCACTGCCACTCTCCTTAAAGAGCTTTCTTCACCCCCTGTCCCCAGTTTCCTAGCTTCTACAGGCACGCCGTGTTAAACCTAAAAATGAAAAATTATTTCAATTCTTAACAAGCATAGCTCTCTTTTCAAGAGTAAACAAATCATATCATTCATATTGCAATCATAAAGAACTGCAGCTGTTCTCCATTGGATTTACATTAGACAATTGAACACTGACTGATTATTTAGAAGAATTTATACATAATTTATCTAGTTATGGAACAGAAGCTATGTCTGAGTTCATAATGCTTTGTTTGCCTGCATTCTTCTTGAGGTAAATAGGCTATTCTATTGATTAAAATAAACCCTTTATAGCACTGTATCTACAAGCCATAAAAGATATAAATGTTGCATTCCTTTGGGAAGGAGTGGTTTAAAATACATTTCAGAAGATTAAAAAAACCAAAACAAACAAACAAACAAACAAACAAAAACACTGAAAGGCTGAAAGTGTGCATAGTGATATGTCCCTGTAATATCATTACTTGGGAAGCTAAGGCATGAGAATTGCTATGGGTTTGAGGCTAGGCTGGGCTACATAGTGAATTCCGGCCAAGCAAGCTCAGGCTACAGTGTGAGATTCTTTCACAAACAAACAAGAATCTTTAGGTTTTTTTTTTTCTAAAATATTCATAATTCTGTAATATTTTTTACAAAAGATTTAAAATTATCTAATAAATTGAGTACAATGTTAATCCATTAAAACAGCATTTACTTAATACAAAATTCAGAATTGTCCTGAATTTTATTAAACCTGAAATAATGCAATTAAGTTAATATGAGATTATTAATAGCCTTACCTCATTTCTCAGGATTTTTTTTTTTTACCAGAGGCAAGAAAGTACACACACACACACACACACACACACACACACACACACACACGCACACACATACTCTGAGCTGTAATTTTCTGTGATTTAAATAAACAGTTGTCAAGTAGAAGAAAACTAATAATTGCTCCCAAAGAAATGCTCGGTTTGTTATAATAAGATCACGTTGACTGAGAAATATGAATGTAACATATGCCACATAATACCATGCGAGGAGCAGTCTATTGTCCCTTCCTCACTGCAGCCACCACACCCCGTATTCCTAATCCTCTCACTTCCTTCTGTTCTCTTCTCAAGAGTGTATCATTTTCCACAGGCTACGTACCCTCTGCTTGTTTGTAGCTTATTTTGGTTTTACTGCTTTACCCACTAAAAGGTCTGGCATCATTACACCATGTATCCCACATGTCTGGACAGTG